AGCTTTATGGTGTTCAAGAAATTTCTTCCCTTTACTTGCAGGGTGGGACCAGCGTGGTCCCTATCTCTTAACCATTACGGGAATCTGATGACGTCATCAGGCTTTCGAACGTCCGTTAAATGTTTGACTAAAACGTTTTGTAGCACGCGGTGGTATATGCTGCTTTGCGCGCAACAAATGCCGCACTTTCAAATAAAGTCCCTAGGAACAGCGGAGATCCCAAAAAGTAAACAAAAGTAAAAGTCTAATATCTTGAAAACCGGTGAATATTTTTCGATGAAATTTGGTAGATATTCGTTGTTGCTCTTTCTGAACCGAGCGACATCACTTTCATGCCAATTCATTAACTTTTTTGAAGGTGGGAGGGTCTCTTTAAAGGGACCCTCCCACCTTAACATTAGTTTTGAGTTGAGATAGCCAAGTTTGCGGCCAGGCTCAGAAACCACCATTTATCCTGGTTGCAACCCCCGCAGCTTTATGGTGTTCAAGAAATTTCTTCCCTTTACTTGCAGGGTGGGACCAGCGTGGTCCCTATCTCTTAACCATTACGGGAATCTGATGACATCAGGCTTTCGAACGTCCGTTAAATGTTTGACTAAAACGTTTTGTAGCACGCGGTGGTATATGCTGCTTTGCGCGCAACAAATGCCGCACTTTCAAATAAAGTCGCTAGGAACAGCAGAGATCCCAAAAAGTAAACAAAAGTAAAAGTCTAGTATCTTGAAAACCGGTGAATATTTTTCGATGAAATTTGGTAGATATTCGTTTTTGCTCTTTCTGAACCGAGCGACATCACTTTCATGCCAATTCATTAACTTTTTTGAAGGTGGGAGGGTCCCTTTAACCTCATCAATTGTTATCTGCACTGCAGTCAACCAAACGTTCTGCGTTTCGCATGCTGTATTCAACGGGAAATCAAATTTGAATGGAGACTCGCGGGCCGTAGGTTGCCGAATCCTGCTCTAAAGTCTAAATAATCGAATAACAGGTAAACACGACACATAAAATCGGAAAATTTCCACCCATGACCCCTCGTAATGTCCTCGAGGTCATCTCAGGTCATGGAAGGTCTCTAGCAGTTTTGACCATAACTTTTGATAGAGACATGCTAGAGCGATGAATACGCCTTAGTTCAATGACCTTGACCTGCGGTCAAATTTTCAAAATGATCTTTGAAAGTCAAACTATAGTTCATTCGACGCACCCCGACGAGAGGAGCACAAAGCTGGCAAAAGCAATACCGTGGCTATCTTGGGTCAAAAGTTATTAAAGATAAACATTCTTCATTGTAACGGCTTAGTAGTGGTGTGTGTTTACCCCCCCCCCCGTCCCGGCGCCGGTTAAAAGTTTTTACCCTCTGGAGGCTAGGCCGTTGGTCTTGGAAAAAGCTGAGGAGGCTAAATGATAGGGTTAATTTAAACTTTGTTACACATTTTCTACCTTTTAATATAGGACGAACGATATTCTATATAAAATAATGTTTGGCGCGGAATCTTATTACGCGTTGGCCACTCATATTGCGTAGTTTAACCCTCGCCCTGGCAGAGCATTTTTCATAACACGGCCTAACGGGGGGGGGGGGGGTCCATGCGACCTCCCCTTCGCGATTGGCTCCTATGGCACATAGAAACACCAAATTTGGTAGGTAACTGGTAAGTCATAAGTGAGCCCCCTGGAGTTCTCGCCTTTGTGCCAATTTGGTTGCTCTAGGTCAATATTAGGGGGGGGGGGGGGGGTATGGATGTAAAATTTCGCTTAAAACAGGTCAAAAGTTTTTCGCTTATAACTTTTGATCTAATTAACCCGCATCGGGCCGGGGGGGAGGGTGTTTGAACACCCCCCCCTGCAGTTTTTGGCACACATGTTCATTCATCTTTTCTACACATGTTGTGAAAATTTCAGACCCAGGGCTCTCAAGGTCAGGTCGTCAGGTCAAGTGACCTTACCACAGAAAAAGTTTCAATCCTCGTTATAGCTACACCGACTGAACGATCGCTTTGAAACTTTCAGTGATTTTTTTTAAACAAAAACCATCATCGTATATTGACACAACATACAAAAGAAAAACAATTCGAAACACTGAGCAGAGAAATATACCAAGGAACGCCTCGCATACGACAGTCACCTGTAGGCAAACGCCTATTACTTCTGGCGTTCGCTCGATCCACACCAATCGGAATAGGCGCTGGCGTCTTACGCACGATGCTTGGCAAACACTTCCTCCTCCAGGCATTTGTCACTTCTTTCTTAGCGAAGTTTAGCACCGCCTCCCTTTCCCCGGTCACCGATGTTGGCTTCCTGGCCGGCCGCCATCAGCTTGATAGCCAACCGCTGTCAGCTCGCAATCCTACCGATATCGACTCGCCAGCCAGCAGCCATCGGCTTGCCAGCTAGCCACCATTGGCTTACTTAAGCCGTCGATAGCATCTCGCTAGCCAGTCGCCAGCAGCCCGCTAGCCTGCCGATATCAGCTCACTAGCCAGCTGTCGGAATCTTATTGGCCTTTTCAACGAAAAAAGAAAACATTTGCAAAAAAGTGAGGTATTCCGTCCCAGCCGAGTGATGAAACTACCGTTTTGGCAACCTGGAATAAAGGTTTTAATCTGCCAAATGAGTTGCCGAGCCAGGGAAAGAGGTGGATTTTTCACTTGCATGCTTTCTTCCTTTGTGACCCACAACCCCTGGAGGGATCCAGAGCGTCGTAAGCCTCGTCGTAGCTGCGACGTGTCGCAAGTTGTGTAGTAAGGCGTTTTTGGAGGGATCAATCGATGAGTAGCGTTACTTAAGTAGTTAAGTCTGTCGCAAGTTGCCTGATTTGCGACACAGCTACGAATTTGAAATAGCAGTCGTAAGTTGTGTCGCAAGTTAACCTTGCTTTGAGGAAAAGGTCACAGGTCAAAGGTCATTCGGGTCATGGTCACGAAATTTAGATGGTAGGTGTAAAATTGTTTGAACTTGAGATCCTGAAAATTTGGTTACAATCCGTTGACGCTAACGCGAGTTATAGAGCTTGAACCGATGGGTCGTCTGTCAGGGCTCAATCCGTGCCAGCGAGAGTGTTGAAAATGGTGCATAATATCTTATATTCACATTCATTGGGGTATTCAGAGATATAAAGTAGCCTTATACCATTCCAGCAACTACTGGCGAGTCCAGAAAGGCAGTCTTGGACGTTGCGGAGGGCATCCCCAAAAGATTCTCCCAATTCCAAAAACAACGTGTCCCAGATGACCCCCATGACCTCCAGTTGAGCTCTGTGATGACCCCAGTTGACCTCTGTGATCTGCCGTGTCTCAGATGACCTCCGCGACCTCCAATTGAGCTCTCTCATTACTCCAAGCTGACTTCTGTGACCTGACATGTCCCAGATGACCTCCAATTGAGTTTTGTGATGACCCCAAGTTGACCTCTGTGACCTGACATGTCCCATATGACCCCTGTGACTGCTAAGTGACCTCTCTGATAACCCCAAGCTGACCTCTGTGACCTGACGTGTCCCAGATGATCTCAAATTGAGCTCTGTGATGACCCCAAGTTGATCTCTGTGACCTAACGTGTCCCATATGACCTCTGTGACCTCTATGTAACCTCTATGATGACCCCAGTTGATGTCTGTGACTTGACATGTCCCATATGACCTCCAATTGAGCTCTCTCATGACTCCGAGCTGACCTCTGTGACCTGACATGTCCCAGATGATCTCCAATTGAGCTCTGTGATGACCCCAAGTTGACCTCTGTGACCTGACGTGTCCCATATGACCTCTGTGACCTCTCTGATGACCCCAAGCTGACCTGTGACCTGACGTGTCCCACATGACCTCTATGACCTCCAATTGAGCTCTGTGATGACCCCAAGTTGACCTCTGTGCAGGGGTGTCATTTTCCAAAAATGATTGGTAGGGCCCAAAGGCGGCAGCCGGCCATACTTGTATGTGACAGGGCTTACAAGGTAGGAATCCTCGGTCAGACTTGATGGATCCACCGGTAGGTACTTTGCACGGTACTTTTAAGACAGACTGTTCAGTCTGTTTTAAAAGTACCGACTGTACAGTCTGTCTGAAAAGTAGGTACCACCACCAAAGTAGGTACCATTTTAAGACAGACTGTACAGTCTAAGTACCAACTGTAAGTCTGTCTTAAAAGTAGGTACCACGCAAAGTGACAGTTACGCGCCCTAATCCATGAAGAAGAAGAAGAAGAAGAAGAAGCAAAGTGACAATGGATCCATCAACTCAAACTTGGCAGTCCTTCATCGGTCAGGCTTGATGGATCCACAGTCACTGCACGTTACTTTTAAGACAGACTACCTACATACCCTTTATAAACAAAGATTTACTTTTAAGTGTTGATGGTACCATTCCAGAATGACTGATGAATCCGCAAATAAATCCAAGCATAAATATTCAGCGTATTTTTGCCTGCTACACGTGGTCCCTAACGACAAAGAAACCCGTAATAGTAGACCAATATGGCGCAAAATCGGAACAGTTTCCTACGCCCGTTTTACTTACTTTACGCTGCTCCATATTCTTGATCTTGAATTTAAGATATGTCATAGCCTTTTGGAAGGGATCGGCGTTCTCAGAAGCCATGTTTTCCTGCTTGACTTCGACGGAAGGCATTTTGGTAAAGAAAGCAACGCACGAGCGCCCCCGCGAGACGACGGAAGTGAACTTCACAGCAACTCACAGCTGCCATATGACATGTGAAGCCTTTCTTTAGAGGAATTTCCCTAACCTGTTTTCCCATTGCGTATCTATTTGTGCCTATTTGTTAGGTACTGCAATTTTTACCTTTCTTAACCATACGTTGTTGTGAATGGGACAAAGGTCATTTGGCATATAGCAAGTGTCAAGACCTCTGTCAGCATTTAAGGTATTTAATATGACGTCACTTTGAATAATATTTCGTCTTTTGCAAATAACATTTCCCTGATACTTAACTTCACGCAAATAGTGCTGCCATATCTCACTAAGTGTTCTCATACTGGCGCACTTTGCTGTGATCTGTGATTCTGGAATTTGGAATTTTTAATCGTCGGTTAGGTACTTCCCAGTCGTAAAAGTAATATAAATACGGTAGTTACGGTTAAGGACATTTTCAGGTCAATATGCTCGGAATTATCCAACACTCACTAATTTTCAACCGGTTCATTTCGAGTGACATCACAGCCAGACTCTAAAATCTAAACACTAATTCAATAATAATTCACTAATTGAATTGCTCCTGAAACAGAAATGCGTGTCAATGTTGATGTAGATTCAACGGTAAATGTTCAGAAAAAGTTTGACTCACTTTTAAAACAAATTTTGTATAATTTTATATTGTTTGACATCCTGAATCTAGATATGGGACAGTCGACCGCTCAGCTGTGTGACATTGACATCAGTCGGGGGAGGTTTGGTCAATCGTTGTCATTTTTAGCATGTGCTTTTTTTGTCAAACGTGCCAAAAATGGCAACGATTCTGCTATTTTTGACAACGATGAAGCCAATTTCACTCTGAAGTGAGGAAATCACGATTTTGGAAAGATGAACACTAATTTTTGAAAAGATGACGTTTTGATAACGTCGTCCATGCGCCAGTCCCTTGGTAGATTGCCGTAGTCAACCGTTGACGAGGGAACAGTTGCGGTCAGGTTTTCCTCTGCCACGTCTTAGTCGTGCCGCTGGACTCTGGGCTTCACTCGGCGCTGACCTCTAAGCAACAATTGGTTTGCCACACTGGATCGTTTTCTTTGCGAATGTCCTGACTTGCTGTGAGAACGAGAGGAATTTGATAAATGTTGCAATGCCGCAAGGGCACTGGGGCCTGTGCCGCAGGCGAGTTGGTGTTGAAAACTGACGATCAGCTTGGTTGGCTTGTTCACCAACTGCCCTGAGCGAGCATACCGAAGAGATAGTTGTTTTGTGTGCACTATTCAATAAAATGTGATATGGTCCAAGTGTGATTCGTGCCGCACCACTTTGACAGTCGCTGTCGTCTGTGGCGTGTTGCAGGCGGCGCCGGCCGGACTCTGAGCGCTATGTCGAAACAGCCGCTGTCGGCGCCGTGCCGCAGTCGATGCGCACACGTGACCTCTATCGGGTCGGAGCTGACGCCGACAGACGTGGAGGCGCGCCGGCGCTCCGGCGCCTGCGACTGGTGCGGCCGTCAACAGCCCAACTTGTGGCTCTGCCTGCACGCCGGCTGCGCCAAGCTCGGCTGCGGCGATCGGGAGGACCACAGCGCCGAGCACCACCGCCAGCTGCCGCATCACTGCCTGGCGCTCAACGTGACCACCATGCGCGTCTGGTGCTATAACTGCCAGACGGAGGTTTACCTGGAGAACAACGTGCCGCCGGTGAGCGGCGCCGGTGCGCCCGTCGCCGTCGATCAGGTGGACGTGGCCGACGTGGGCTCCAGCGAGGACGACGACGAGCAGAGCGACGCCGAGCCGCCATGCGGACTGACCGGCCTGCGCAACATCGGTAACACGTGCTACATGAACGCGGCGCTGCAGGCGCTCTCCAATCTGCCGCCACTGACGCGCTACTTTCTCGACTGCGAGCGGCTGGTGCCCACCGACCGGAAGCCGGGCCTGGCGCGCGCCTACCTGCGCCTGGTGCAACAGATCTGGAGCCGGCGGCGCGTCAGTTGCCTGGCGCCTACGGCCGTGCTGCAGGCGATGCGCTCCGCGCACCCGCAGTTCCGCGGCTTCCAGCAGCACGACAGCCAGGAGTTCCTGCGCTGCTTTATGGACGTGCTGCACGACGAGCTGCGCCGACCGGCGGCCTGGCGGCCTGAGGATGACGCCGAGCGGTCAACCGAGCCAGACGGCGGCGACGCGAGCGCCTCGGACTCTGCGCTCTCAGACGCCGAGACTGACGGTGACTACGAGACGGCCGACTCGGGCGTCAGTGAGCGCTCCAGCGACAGCGAGTCGGCGGCGCCGCGCCGCCGCCGCCGCCGCCACGTGTACACCCAGCGCTCGGCGCCGCTCCCGGCCGCCGACGACATGGAGTTTGCCGACGCCGAGTCGGCGCCACTGCTGCCGGCCGAGCCGTCGGCGCCGCCGAGCCCGGCGCGCTCTGCGTCGCCGGCGGTGGGCGCGCCGCGGCCCGGCCGGCGGCTGCGCTACCGCAGCATCGTCTGTGATGTGTTCGACGGGCGCATCCTGTCGTCGGTGCAGTGCTTGACCTGTAACGGCGTGTCGGCCACGCGCGAGACCTTCCAGGACCTGTCGCTGGCCATCCCCAGCCGCGAGCACCTGTCTGTGCTGCACGCCCAGCCGGCCGGCGGCCGCGGCGCCGCCTGCGTGCAGCTGAACGCCCGCCAGGCCTGGGGGCCGTGGCTGTGGTCGTGGCTGGCATCCTGGTTCTCCGGACCCAGCGTCTCGCTGCACGACTGTCTGGCGTCGTTTTTCTCCTCTGACGAGCTGAAGGGCGACAACATGTACAGCTGCGGCGGGTGCAAGAAGCTGCGGAACGGCCTGAAGGTGTGCCGCGTGCTGGAGCTGCCCGAGGTGCTCACCATCCACCTGAAGCGGTTCCGCCACGAGCTGGTGTTCTCCACGAAGCTGGGCACGCAGGTGGAGTTTCCGCTGGTGGGCCTGGACATGGCGCCCTACCTTCACCGACAGAGTCGCGGCCAGGTAACCGTGTACGACCTGGCGGCCGTCGTCTGCCACCACGGCACCGCCGGCGCCGGACACTACACCGCCTACGCGCTCAACGAGCCGTCCGGCGCCTGGTACGAGTATGACGACCAGTACGTGACAGAGGTCGGCGCCGACACCGTCCAGTCCTGCCAGGCGTACGTGCTCTTCTACAGGTGAGCCGGCCCCGGCGGCCGAGGCTGCTGGACGCGCGCACTGCCGCGCTCGCTCCGCTGCGGAGCGAGCGCAGTCATCCTTTACAGCTGACCGTCAGTGCCAAACACACAGCTTCAGCTAAAACACAGTGTATTGAGGTACGTTGAAAACAAAAACGATTTAGGGATGTGTAGGTATTAGGGAGACCCGGGAGGTATGGGCCCCCCTGGAAGTATGGGCCATCGCAGAACTTTGAAGAAGCTTTACGTATTTTTTTTCTCATTTGACCGCGTAAACTGGTAGCAGCCATTCCTGAGGGTTCCGAACTTTTACTTCGAATTTTCCAGGTCATCCTAGGTCACGAAAATTGTGTATCATGTATCGGTCACGTGACGCATGTTTTATGGTCCATTCTACTCGTAGATTTCGAAGACAATGTCGTCTGTGTCATTTGACTTCATTTTCAGCTGAATTTACCGGAGGTCAGGTCACTTTCATGTCAGAAAAGGTCAAATTTTGAAAATGAATTTATTTCAACAACAGGGTGCCTATCAGATGCGGTTTGAGCTCAGGAACACGATGGTGCCATTCATTTTGCTGTACGATCTTAAAAACGTACTGAAAAATGGTTTTGAAAAATATATAATTGTAAAATTTTGGCAATAATGACAATAACTTGGCTATTTTTGAACATATTGGGCTAAAACTTGCTAGAGTAGTTTATCAGTGTGTGTTCTATCACATATATTCTGTTTTTTGCTAAAAAATAATAAAAAAAAACTTTCGAAAAAATCATAAAATATATTTTTGTAATTGAAAATGAATATTGTTCAATATTTTCAAACTTTCTAAATTTCGAGATGGCAGTTTGATAGCTACGTGTATTTGTAGTCCACTCATGCGAATAAATTGGTCTAGCTTTAAAGGGACCCTCCCACCTTAACATTAGATTTGAGTTGAGATAGCCAAAATGGGGTCCTTGGCTCACAATTACCGGTTTCGGCACTCACAACATCGAGAAATGCCTGAAATCGGAAATGTTGAATTTCAAAATTGCAGCATTTTGATTCAGAGGGGCTAATGCATAGGAATACCCCTCTGAATGTGTGACGTCAGCGCAGATATTTAACGATTTTTAAATGTTTGACTAAAATGTTTTGTAGCACGCTATGGTATATGCTGCTTTGCGCGCAACAAGTGCCGCACTTTCAGCTGCCAAACTATTGCTTCCAAATAAAGTCGCTAGGAACAGCGGAGATCCCAAAAAGTAAACAAAAGTAAAAGTCTAATATCTTGAAAACCGGTGAATATTTTTCGGTGAAGTTTGGTAGATACCTATTCGTTTTCGCTCTTTCTGAACCGAGCGACATCACTTTCATGCCAATTCATAAACTTTTTTGAAGGTGGGAGGGTCCCTTTAAAACTGAGCTCGTGAGAGCGTTTGCCGTAATTCAATATTTTGCATCAAAATCACAGTGGCGTATCACGTATCACGTATATCACGTATCATCACGTATCTTCAGAATTCCTCAAATTCACTCGCCGGACCTACATTTGCCCCGGCCGCGCATTTACAAACTGCATACACGCCTTCGGAGCGCCAATCAAATTGCACCAGCCGCTGGCGTGACGTCGGCCATGACGTCAGAGAAGGGGCGGAGCGAAGTTGGTTAGCCAGCTGTTTTCACAGCGCCGCGGGCGGCGCAGTGCGGCGAGCGCGCGATTTTGTTTGTAAACAATCGTTGCCAAGGCCGTATTGGTATAGATGGTTGCAGCGTGATTGATTTTGATTGTTTGATTGATGTGATGCGACGAGTATCATGGATGAGGATACTTACGATAGCATAATTGGTAAACACAGTTGCCTGCAAAGTTTGAATGTCAATCAGAACGATCGTCCACTAAGCGCCTGTGGCCAAGTGGCTATGATCCTCGCATATCACATTGAGGAGCCGAGTTCGGTTCTCGGGGCGGCGAGTTTTTCTCATGAGCTCCGACGTCTAATTGAACGGTTTTACGTAAGCCTATAAGTAATATAAAGCAAACCCCTCTTATTGACGAACGCGGTTGGCGGCTCACACGCATGTTGCAGGTCAGAGTGGGTGGTATGAAACGACGCGTCTCGACCGTCTCCGTGTTGTTTGCTAGGTGTGCACGCTGTCAGTGCACGGGTTTTGTGCATTTCGTCGAAAATCATTCTGGATTCTAATGAAATCGGACGTCTAAATAGGCCGACTCGGCGGCGCTCTGAACGGCAGACGGCTTAAAAGTTCAACTTGAAACTTATACACCCGTCTAGCGGCATCGATTTTGGCGAGGCACTTTTCGGATCTTCGACATTTTGGAGCATAGTTAGAGATCCGAAAAGTGCCTCGCCAAAATCGATGCCGCTAGACGGGCGTATAAGTTTCAAGTTGATCTTTTAAGCCGTCTGCCGTTCAGAGCGCCGCCGAGTCGGCCTATTTAGACGTCCGATTTCATTAGAATCCAGAATGATTTTCGGCGAAATGCACAAAACCCGTGCACTGACAGCGTGCACACCTAGCAAACAACACGGAGACGGTCGAGACGCGTCGTTTCATACCACCCACTCTGACCTGCAACATGCGTGTGAGCCGCCAACCGCGTTCGTCAACAAGAGGGGTTTGCTTTATATTACTTATAGGCTTACGTAAAACCGTTCAATTAGACGTCGGAGGCCGGAGCTCATGAGAAAAACTCGCCGCCCCGAGAATCGAACGCGGCTCCTCTAGGTGACATGCGAGGATCATAACCACTTGGCCACAGGCGCTTAGTGGACGACCGGTCTGATTGACATTCAAACTTTGCAGGCAACTGTGTTTACCAATTATGCTATCGTAAGTATAACCTGGTCTTTCGGATGAACTATTTTCCCAAACAAGATCAGGGGTTTTAGCTAGTTGTAAATATTCAACACAACATTACAATTTCTCATCGAGTAAGTAGGTAAGCTCCACGATCCGCGAGTCTTCCGCTCCGCCCCTGCACTTGACGTCACCTGCCAAGCGCCGCTACAGCCTTTCACTCCGCCCATTGGCATGACGTCACGGCTCGGTCTCCGAATACGTGTATACAGTTTGTAAATTTGCGCCCCGGCCGAGGGGGTTGATTGAACCCACCTCGCTAATGCGCCGCTAATTAAACTAGAATTAAGCGGTAAAGTGGTCGTATGCGGCAAAGTATAATGCAGAGTGACTTGTAAGAACCCGCTTTAAAGGTCTCAGGTCAACCGGTGACCTCTGAGGTCAGATCAAGTGATCTAAAGCACGGGTTCGGTTTTTGGTAAATAACTTCGCCAAAAATGGCCGTAGAGCCGCGATTTTGGCATCATCGTGTTCAGCTAGCTCAGGCGCATCGAGTGATATACTTTTTGTTCGGATCAGGTCAACTTAGGGTGTTGACCTCAGGTCAAGGTCAGGTCAGCACCCCCCAGGTCACGAAGTTGGTCGAAAGAGGTCATGTCGCATATCATTCGATTCGGCAGGTCTTCCTGAGTGTATTGGTGGCTTTCCCGACTCGCTAGCTCAATTTGATCGGGAGTTATTGAAGAAAAATTGTGACCCCTGTGACGTCACAAATGACGTCACGCAAGGGCAACAATGCAAATATGAAGCATAGAACCTTGCAAGGAGTGCATGAAATCATGATTCTATATGCTTGAGATAGTTTCAGATCATTCTCGGCGCCAAAATAGCAATTTTCATATTTCCCCATTGACTTATAAGGGTTCAACGTATTAGTTCCTTGTATCTGAGGATTTTTTAGGATTTCATCTTGTTCTCCACTCAATTCTGCGTAAGATGCCGGGTTCCGTGTCCACATAGCCTGAACGTAACGGATGCAGCGACCGCAAACGTAAATCGAGGTCCCGAATTCCCTATTCCCCAACACAGGCGGCGGCCGCTTCCTGGTCTGCGCAACATGGCGGCACCGTTGGACACCATCTGGCGGCCGATGCGCCTTCCACATTATAGAGTTCAGCAGTGGCGCGGGAACCGGGGGGGGGGGGGGGGGCTAGCGGGGCAGTGTTCCATTTTTCAGACTTTTTGGTGGCAAATCACACCTAATGGGGAAAATACTTTCATCCCTAAAATATGAATGACCAACTTTACTTCATCTCTGAAAAAAGTTTCATGTATTCCCAACAGCCAGTTTACATGTCACTTGACTGTTGATGCATCCACAATCCACATCCTTTTGTTTCCACATCCTGTCAAGATTCTGACATGAAATCCTGGTTTATCAGTTCGCATACAAATTGGCATTACACCATTTTGCAAATATACTTCGGTTATTTATTTCCTATTTTCTCATCCTAGGATTTTTTTCTTCATCGGCACACCCAACCAAAATCGAATTTTAGAACACTGTAGCGGGGGCTGAGCCCCCCCCCCAGCTTTTCAGCTGGGGGGGCTCGTAATGTATTTGAGCCCCCCCCCCCAGCTGGAGGAATCGAAATCGGAAATCTACCAACATAATTTCATAGATTCATACATAGGCGCGGGAACTGGGGAGGGGGCAGTGGGGGAAGCTTGCCTCCACAACTCTGCGGCCGTGGGGGCGGTGCCCCACAACGTTTCATGAGGCCAGGAACCGTTGGGCAGCTTGTCCTCCCCAAATTAGGGGTTGTGGGTCGCAAAGGAAGAAAGCATGTAAGTGAAAAATCCACCTATTTCACTGGCTCGGCAACTCATTTGGCAGATTAAAACTTTTACTCCAGGTTGCCAAAACGGTAATTTCTTCACTCAGCTGAGACGGAATACCCATAGGCGTAGGAACAGGGGGGGCCAGGTGGGCAAGTGCCCACCCACTTTTCGAGGTGGGGGGGGCCAACCATGTGTTTTGGCCCACCCACTTTTTACTCGAGGCCCCTCGTCTCGATTTGAGAGGACGTCGTCACCTTCCAGAATAAACAAACTCGGTAAAAATAAGTTCCACGAATCCCCACGCACGGACTCCAAGGGGTCGTGATGGATCCAAGGAGGCCCTCTGTTCATAC